TGAGGTGGTCTGCCCTGAGCATCCTCACGGATACCACTTCCTTACTCTCTTGCCTAGTACAATGTTTGCAATCTTCAGGACAAGGTCTTCGCGAAAATGCATCTGCGTTGCCATGAGATTTCCCGCTGCGATGTTCGATCTCAAAGTCGTATTCCTGCAGTAGTTCAATCCACCTCGCAACTTGTCCTTCTGGATTTTTAAACTGCAATAGCCATTTTAGTGCAGCATGGTCAGTTCGTAAGTGAAATTTTCGCCCCAGAAGATATTTGCTAAAATGCTGCAACGACTTTACCACAGCTAGCAATTCGCGTCTTGTAACACAATAGTTCCTTTCCGGTTTTGACAACGACTTGCTGAAGTACGCTATCACGACCTCTTGGTTGGTCACCATTCTGTTGAGAAAACACACCGCCAAGTCCTATATCACTTGCGTCTGTGTCAACTATAAATTCTTTGCTTGCATCAGGGTATCCCAAAATAGGTGTTTTGCACAGACGGTCCTTGAGCTCCTGGAATGCGATATTACAACTTTCATCCCAGCAGAAATGTCGCTTCTCCTCGGTTAGCTTATGCAGAGGTTTGGCTATATCTGCAAAGTTCTTCACAAAACGTCGGTAATAGGAGCACAAACCCAAAAATGCTCTAACCTGCGTCTTGTCTTTTGGAACCGGCCAATCCTTTACAGCTGCGATTTTCTCTGGATCTGTGCGGATACCTTCTTCCGACACTACATACCCCAAAAAGTTGACTTGCCGTTTGAATAGTGAACATTTCTTCGGACTCAACTTGAGGTTGGCACTCTTAATCTTCATGAGCACGCGTTCCAAGTTTTGAAGGTGTTCCTCAAACGTACGGCCCACGATGATGATGTCATCCAAGTAGACCAGACAGGCGTCGCCAATTAGCCCGGTAAGTACAAGTTCCATCAGCCTTTCAAACGTTGCTGGAGCATTGCACAACCCAAACGGCATTACTTTAAATTGCCACAGACCCTTTCCCGTCGAGAACGCAGTTTTCTCCTTGTCCTTAGGGTCAATTTCAACTTGCCAGTAGCCACTTTTTAGGTCCAGCGTGCTAAACCACTTTACTCCTGTAAGCATGTCCAGCGTGTCGTCAATTCTTGGCAAGGGATAGCTATCCTTCTTAGTAACGTCGTTCAGACGGCGGTAGTCAACACAAAACCGCAAGCTGCCGTCCTTCTTCTTTACCAGTACCACGGGTGAACACCATGGACTAGATGAAGGTTCAATAACACCATCCTTCACCATTCCCTTAATCATGGTTTCCACTTCCTTTTCACGTGCTACCGGCAATCGTCTTGGCCGCTGACGGATAGGCAACTCTTCACCTGTGTTTATTTTGTGTTGAACTAAACCAGTCTTTCCTATGTCAGCATCGTTTGATGAGTCGTTTGAAATTAAAACTAAAAACACTAATAATTAAACACACTAATTCACTTAATTCCGCTCCGAAGCTTCGCTTGTGTCGCCGAGTTCAACTCTGCTTCGATCGCATCTTGCAGCGCCTATATATTTAAATTAGCAAAGAAATATCCAGAATGTTCAAGTAAACACGCGCAAGGTACCGAGCGTTCGAGTTTCGACTAGGCGCTGTCGGTTGAGTGATTTGTGATGTCATTTTCTCAATGCTCCCCTCGCTCTCGTTCCTGACAATAGATGGCGCTAGTGTATTGTCGATTTGAGCGCGTAACAATATTGACAAAACTAAATATATCACATTTTCCATGACATGATGACCTTCAATCAATTATCAACTATAAGTTAACTGCTCACACTTGTTTAATTTTAACGAAACTCTTAGGATCACCGTGTACCTGCCCATCTTTACACAAAACCTACTGTGTTAAGTATTTAGATGTTCTTATTGATTATCAATTGAATTTTAAAGAACATTAAGATGTATTAACGTCATGTGTTCGATAACTTATTTATGTCTTTAAAATCTGAGGCATATTACTAAACCCGATTTAGTGGAACAAATAATATAATCTGCTTTGTATCAATCCATTATAACTTACGGTATAACAATATGGGGGCGAAGACCCAAAAACTACATTAGGTCCACCGGAAAGAGCTCAGAAAGCTGTTTTTTTACTGTTCTACCCATTCTCTATCCAACGTATGTACTATATCAACACTGCCAAGTATTAACAGTTCAAAATTTCAGTCAGCTACTTTAATTAAAATTTATAATTCTTGTAACAAATAATAACTAAGTTTTACCGTAATTGAAGTTACTTTTAGACAAAGTCTATACAGGGTCGTCTATATTTTAAACAGAATTTGTAAATTAAGCATAATATAAACTGAAATAGCCGGCGAGTCTTTTTAAAAAAAGTTATTTTTCACCTTTTTTTGTAATTTGTTTTTCTTTTAGGTTTCCTAATCATCCGAATCAGTAAAAGTAGTAAATAACTTCAACATTAACTGCTGACGGAGAGGCGCTTGTTTGCTGAATGACTCGGATATTGATAGTGGCCCTTGTAGTGTAGTAGGCACACACAGCGCCCGGAGTAGGCACACACAGCGCCCGGAGTAGGCACACACAGCGCCTGGAGTAGGCACACGCAGCGTCTGGAGTAGGTGCTTCATAGCGCCTGAAGTAGGCGCTCACAGCGCCCGGAGTAGGCACACACAGCGCCTGAAGTAGCGCGGGCACTAGTAGGTGGAGGCGCAGGCATGGCTAGGCGACGACTTCAGGTGAAGGCAGAGGCTTGCAGGATCCCGGGGCAGTGCGGCCCCGTGATCGTTAAACGTGCCTATATTCATTACAAATTTGCACAAAGATACTAAGGCAGAGTCCATAAGTGAGTATGTTTACAAACAGCCGAATGAGAAAATATGTCATATTAAAATATCTCAGCGCAAAGAAAGTGGAAAGGGAGTGACGACCTGGTAAGATAGGCAGGAAGTCGATGGATGCAGGTGGCTCAGGACCGTGCTTTGTGGCATTACTTGGGGAAGGCCTATGTTCAGCAGTGGACTTGTGAAGGGCTGTAATGATGATGATGATTGAAGTAAAAACATCAGACCGGTAACGAATTTGAATAAAAATTGCCATGACAACCAGATAAACAACGATGTCAAAACATGTCAAATTTTGGTTTTAGGCTCGTAATAGAGAAACGGCAAGATTTAAGTGAAATTTAGAATTTAGAATAATAGAAAATTGGGGATAGACCTGCAAAATAGTGAGAATCGATTATGGGACGCCGCCGCCGTCACATTAGCTTGTGAATGCAATCAGTCACACTCGCAGCCGTTGACGCCCGAACTAACGATATCGGGGCGCTCGAGTGACGTAGGCGATCAGCTGAGTGCGACCGCTTAGAAACATAATCTCATGCAACAAATGTCTATTGCTGAAGAAAATGTAAAAAAGGAAATTGAATGGATTACAGTGTGCGCTAAAAAGAAAAAGAAGTCAAATCGATATGGCAATAAAATAGGATTGGCAAGTTAAGTGTCGAATTTTAAATCGACAGATTTAAACGTGCCTATATTCATTACAAATTTGCACAAAGATACTAAGGCAGAGTCCATAAGTGAGTATGTTTACAAACAGCCGAATGAGAAAATATCTCATATTAAAATATCTCAGCGCAAAGAAAGGGGATATAATGCGTTTAAAATGTTCGTCCCCAGGCATAAACCATACATGTTCCATGACGAGCAACTGTGGTCTGAAGGAATAATATTCCGACGCTTTGTTAACTTCAATTCTCAAGGGATGCAAGGTGCCGAGGCTAATAAACCAAGATCATAATAGATAGAAATGATAAAGCCATGTCATGTAACCGTTTAATTGTAAATCTTTAAAAAGAGCGGACGAGGGGGTCCGTCAGCTATGTAAGACAGCTGACATAATAGCTCTTCAAGAGACGGGGCTGCTGCCACATGAACTGTCGTATCTTGAGAATATTGATGCTGGTTTTGAGGGCATCGGGACATCTGCTGTGGACACGACGACTGGAGTATTGGAGGGACGACCCTATGGAGGGGTCGCGCTGCTGTGGAGGAAACGTGTGTTCCCTGTGTATCCGTAATACCGTGTTCAAGTGCTCGTATTTGTGTCGTTAAAGTTGATCTCCGTAATCAAAAGCTAATAGTGTGTAGTGTATACAGGTGGCCCAAAAGTCGTGGATCAAACGCAAGTAGGGGTTAGATGGGGTCATCAGCTGCAAAAAGTTGTTCTACGGGAGGTCCTTAAGGTCAACCCCTGCAGAGTTATAATTTGTTTTGTGTTTTTATGAGAAAATTGACTTTTTTTAACTAATTCTTATTAAAATTCCAAAAAATCTACATCCTGTATCTTTTTTATAATTTTCACTAGATTGGTACTGATGAGGTATTGTGTGTGTTGAAGATAATATTAAGTTTTACGATTTTTTTTCTCAAATCATAACTTTTATTTACTTCGGACCCCACTGTGAAAAAAAATACTCTACCGAAAAGTACCCTGTATTACAAGTTTTGGCGCATTTAATAGGGATTCTGAAAAGGTATTACACATGGCTATGCGTGGCTTTGATATCTTTCAAGGACGATTATTCGTAGCAAGGCCAAAGTTAACCCAACCATAAAACTCGGTTAGGCTTATTTAAAAATAAACTGGAACTAATACAATTAATGACAAATACTCTCTGCCTCTCTTTTACACTAATCATTTAATCCTTCGTCAATAAAAGACCAGTTGGCCCGTCAGTTCAGGTAGTGATATCTTTTCTAGGCAAAAAAAGACCGGGCCGGCAGGGGCAGGGGCCGGGGGATGCGCGTGAGCATGTTTCTTTAGAATGTTTAGTGTTCTTTAGTGACTTCCTCCACTGTTTTGCAAACTGTTTTACGACGACTTGTGATCAGTTTCTTTCCTTTGACCTACGCTTTGTTTTTCGGACTTGTGATAGATTGCCTACCTGTGACCAGTGCTGTGTAAATCGGACTAGATTCGGAATCGGACGGACTGTGTATAAAAGTGGACAGATGGCTGCTGCGAGGAGAGAATACACCCAACGGAAGTATGCAGAAATGCATTACCTGTATGGCTTTTGCGACGGTGATGCCCGGGCTGCTGCCAGGGAATATCGTCAACGCTACACTAACCGTGATCATTTTCCAGACTACAGGGTCTTTATGCGCGTACATAATTCGTACATGGTGGGAGTTTTACCCGATCAGCATGCTCCGAGAGCAGGCAGACCAGTGGTGCAATTTGAAAATGAATATGAAGTGCTGAGAGAATTAAGATTGGATCTTCGTTCGATCGTAATCTCAGGATTCCAAGATCGACGGCGCAACGTGTCATTAACAGAAACAAATATCACGCCTACCACGTGCGAAGGGGGCAAGCTTTGCTGCCCGGTGACTATTAACCTAGAGTGCGGTTTTGCAGCTCTCTGCAAAACCGCACTCTCTCTCTTCTCTTCTTCTGTGGTATCTTAGCATCTCTATGCTAAGATACCACAGAGAGGATCCGCAGTTCTTCAACAAGGTTTTATGGACGGATGAGTCAACTTTTATAAAAATGGGAGTATTCAATATCCACAATCTGCATTTTTACTCCAGAGTGAACCCCCATATCATAAGAAATGATCGATTCCAGCATCTGTTTGGTATTAACATGTGGGCTGGTATAATTGGCCAGCAGATGGTGCTGCATGAAATGCCAGCAAGGCTGAATGGTGCTCAGTATTTAAATTTTTTGCAAAATAATTTAAACCATATTCTTAACGAAGCTGAAGTTCCAGAAGAAAGAATATCAGAAATGTGGCTGCAACATGATGGCACACGCCTCACTACGCTCGAGCAGTTAGAGATCATTTGAACGAGCGCTTCCCTAACCAGTGGATTGGTCGAAGCGGACATGTTGCGTGGCCACCCCGGTCGCCCGAATAAAGAAATAGTTTACCAAGGAGAGAATAATAGCGAACAAGAACAACGACAAAAGCTAGAATTTACTAGGGTACAAGTTACTAACAACAGAGGTGCATTCCGTAGGTTACGTAGGAATTTTATTTAGACGGAGCAGATTATGTAATTTTGGTCAGAGGCAGGAATTTTGAGCATTTATTGTAAAATGTTTTGCTTAATAAAACAATTATTTCACAATCGTTGTTTTGTTTTGTCGTCCTAAAAAGATATTAGAGCCACTCATGGCCATGTGTTATACCTTTTCAGAATCCCTATTAAATGCGCCAAAACTTGTAATACAGGGTCACTTTTCGGTGGGGTGCGAAGTCAGAAGTCCTCCACGTGTGCCTGGTAGTTGCGGGTCCCTCTCGATACGTCTGGAGGGAAGAGCAGCTACTGGGCCGGTGCACCCTGGGCGCGGCGGTAATCTTCCTCGAGAAATGTGAAGAAATTCTTATTCCTTGGGGAATGTTGCTGCCGCAGCTAATTATTCTGACATGGGTGGGGTCCGTCCCGGACCAACAGTGCGTTCCTCTGCGTGACCCTCTGATCAGCAGAGGGCATAGCAGAGGAGTGAGGGCGGGCTCGGTGTGCACTTACCCTGCCTCCGGGCAGACAGTGAAGGATTCATCCTTTGCTGTCACCGCCGGTCTCGTAATCCCAGTATCGAAGTGTCGTGGATCAAGTCGCAGCTTTGATAGGGACCGAGGGTCTTGGCTTAATCGCCCGGACCGCGAGGGAGAAAACCTCTATAAAAAGTTACTCCGAATCCCAAGCGGCGACACACCGCGAGGGGATGGATGGCTGACGGGGTTCTATGAACAAATCAGCCGTTAGTGCGCTCCTAGCCAGGGTACCTGCAGACCCCCTGGCGAGTAATAAATCTTCTAAATCTGCTTACCTTGGTACAGGGGTCTCTGCCAAGGTGGACCTTTAATTCCCCCATACTCGTGGGTACAAAATGGAAAAAACCAAAACCAAAACCAAAACCGCCGGCAACAGCAACGTAGAGGAGAGGAGGAACGATGCGGGGACAGAGTCCGACGCCGCATCGATCAGCGTGGGAGGCCCAGAGAGCTCCCGACGCGTGGGGCCTGGGACCGCGAAGACCAGTAAGTTCTTCAGCAAGCGGTCCAGGCAGGATGGCGACCAGGGGCCGTCATCCGGTGAAGAGTAACCCGGAAAATCCCCACCAACAGGCGGGGCGGGCTGAGAGGCAAGGGGAATGCCAATCAGAGGGCCGAACGAGCGGCAAAGCTTGCCGAGGAGGGGCGCCACCCGGGCGATACGGCTCGGGTATCAGGCGAAGAGACGAGTGCGACTGGCGGCTCCGAGGTGGAGCGTAAGGCCAGATTCGTAAAGGAGGTGGACGCCGCGATCAAGGTCGTGGCCTACAAGCAAAAGCCCTCCTCGAAGTTCAAGGCCATTCCCGGGGCCTCCGCCTCCATCATGGCGGCTGCGGAGGCCAACTTTGTTGGGGCCGGGCCTAATGCGGACGAGGTGGCGAAGCTGCGGGCGGACGTGGCCCGCCTGACGTCCGCCATGGAGACTCTCCAGAAGGAGAACGAGAAGCTCCGCGCAGACCTGGCCAGTCTACGTGAGCCTGCCTCTCGCGCGGCGCCCCAGACGCAGCGCCCAAGCCAGCCCGTGCCGGTGGAGAACCAGGTTCTGAACCTGGTCCGGCAGGAGCTGGCTGCCTTCCAGCACCGGTTTTCCATCGTCCTGCGCCCCCCCCTAGGGGTAAACAAGACGGCGGCGAGGCCGGCAACGGTCTCGTACGCGGCGGCCACGGCTGCCGCATCCAGGCCGGGGCCGTTCAGCCAGCCCTCGGGCGGGGCTGCAGTTGCCCTTCCCCCCACTGAAAAGCCGGCCCCGGCAAATCTGGTACCGGCTGAACCGGCTCCGGCTAAGCCGGCGACGGGAAAGAGAGGCAAGACGAAGGCGAAAAAGGGCAAGGCGGCAGCACAGGTGGTGGCTGCACCGACCCCAGTGCCTGCGGAGAATGTGCCAGCGCCAGCGGCAAGCCAACTGCCGCCGCCGTCACCGCCCCCCCAGCTCCCTACACCTCCCGCTGCTGAAGCCGGTTGGCAGGTGGTCGGGGACAAAAAGAAGGGGAAGAAGGCAGACAAAAAGGCCAAAGAGCAGGAGCGGCAGCGCCAGTTCAGGGCGCGCAAGATCGCGGCTAGGCTCCGCGCCCCGAAGACCGCAGCTGTAGTGATTACACTACAGCCGGACGCGGAAAAGAAGGGCATTACCTACCGCGATCTACTCGCGAAGGCGAAGGAGGCAGTGGATGTCGGGGAGCTCGGGATCACCGGGGGCCTCCGGCTCAAAGTCAACCAGACGGGGGCCCGTATGCTGGAGGTCCCCGGGGAATCCAGTGGCGCGACCGCGGACGCTCTGGCTGCGAAGCTCAGAGCGTCTCTGGACGCGTACGAGGCCCGAGTGTCCAGGCCCGTCAGATGCGCAGACCTGCGCATCATGGGTCTGGACGACTCGGTATCGGAGGAGGAGTTGGTGGCCGCCATCGCCAGGTCCGGGGGGTGCACTACTGACCAGGTCAGGTCAGGCGCCATACGCCCGGACCAACAGGGTATGCACGCCGCCACGGTGTGCTGCTCTGTTACGGCGGCCAAAACCATAGTGGAGGGCCGAAGGCTTCTGGTGGGCTGGGTCTCAGCGCAGGTTAACCTGCTGGAGCCCAGACCTCTGAGGTGCTATCGCTGTCTCGTGGGGCACCACGTATCAGTGAGATGCGCCTCGGAGGTTGACCGCAGTGCCCTTTGCTTCCGCTGCTGTCAGCCCGGACACATATCGGCGACCTGCTGCGCCACGCCGCACTGTGATGCATGTGCGGCGACCGGCAAGCCAGCCGATCACCGGGCCGGAAGCAATGCCTGCGTGCCACCCGCCAAGGCCAAGGCCGCGGGTAGGGGAGGGCCCTCTGCCGCCACCGCCTCTGTGGCCTCCACCGCAGCCGCAACTGTCGCCGCCACCGCTGTCACTGTCGCCGCCGCCGCCGCCGCGACACCGACGCCCGCAGAGGGACCCCCGTGGAGGAAGCTGAAATGGAATGCCTATAACGGCCCCATTAAGCTTCCTCCAGGCGAATATCAACCACTGCGCCTGCGCTCAGGATCTGTTGCTCCAGAGCATGGCGCAGTGGTCCATTAACATCGCTGTGGTCGCTGAGCCGTATTTTGTCTGGCATAGGGAGGACTAGGTGGCGGACCTTAACGGCTAAGTGGCCATCATCTCCTCGGCCGCCACCGGTACCCCGACCCTTGAAGGTGTCAGGAGGGGTCAGGAGTGCATAGCAGCACGGTTCGGAGAGTTCGTCGTTGTGGGGGTGTACTTCTCCCCGAACCGATCTCTCGCCGAGCTCCACAACTCTCTTGCAGAGCAGAGAGCAGTCGTCGTCGGAAGTTATCCCCTCTCCGTACTTGTCCTCGGGGACTTCAATGCCAAGAACTTGGCTTGGGGTTCTCGTCGTACAGATGTGCGGGGTAGGATGGCGGAAGACTGGGCTCTGGAGACAGGCCTGGTCGTCCTAAATCGGGGTTCTGTCCCCACGTGTGTGCGGATGCGGGGCAAGTCGGTGGTGGACATCTCGTTCGCTAGCCCCGCTCTGGCGCCGCGTGCCATTGACTGGCGTGTCATGGAGGGGGTGGAGACCTACTCCGACCACCGGTACATCCGGTTTGACGTCTCCACTCAGCCCTCGAGCGTGCCAGTCCAACAGGCCCCGAGTGGTCCGCGTTGGGCGCTGAAGCAGCTGGACCGGGAGCTCCTCCTGGAAGCCTCGATCGTGCAGGCCTGGGTGTCATCCCCGGACAGGCCTGCCGACGTCAATGATGAGGCAGGGTGGTTCCAGGAGGCCATGTCCGAGATATGTGACGTGGCAATGCCCCGCGTCCGGCCAGGAAGCGCCCGGCGTCAGGTGTATTGGTGGTCGCGTGAGCTGACGTCTCTGCGCGAGGCGTGCGTCGCCGCGCGGCACCTGTACGCAAGGCATCGCAGGCTCCGCATTCGTCCACTGAATACGGCAGCCATTGGGGCGGAGCTGTACGAGGGATACAGAGCGGCGAAGACCGCCCTCCGGGAGGCTGTCCTGCGGGCCCGGGATCGGGCCCGTGAGGAGATACTGGAGACTCTCGACAGAAATCCGTGGGGGCGCCCTTACAAGATGGTGCGGGATAAACTACGCACCTGGGCCCCCCCGCTGTCGCAGAGTCTCAGGCCCCAGCTCGTGGAGGACGTGGTGAGCGTCCTGTTCCCTGCGCGAGGGGAACATCCGCCCCCACCTATGGCTCCGCCACCTGCGGTGCCGGAAGCGGACCACCAGGACGACGACGACGACATCCCGGAAGGGACCGGGGTAGACCTGAGAGTGGCGGTACGTAGGCTCAAGGCCAGGAATGCCACCCCAGGACCCGATGGCCTGTCTGGCAAAGCCTGGGTCCTGGCCTCGGAGGCTCTCGGGCCCCGACTGGAGGGGCTCCTAAGCGCATGCTTGGAGAGAGGCCAATTCC